CGGGTCTTAGTTGCAGCACATGGGGGATCTTCGTTGAGGCATGCAGGCTCTTCGTTGTGGTGTGCAGACTTCTCTCTAGTTGCAACATGTGGGTTTTCTCTCTCTAGTTGTGGTGCACAGGCTCCAGGGTACATGGCCTCTGTAGTTGTGGTGCGCAGGTTCCAGAGCATGTAGTTTGCGGCATGCAGGCTCTAGTTGAGGTGTGCAAACTCAGCAGTTGTGGCACACGGGCTTAGTTGCCCCGCGGCATCGGGGATCTTAGTTCCCTGACCAGGGATCAAACCCGCATCCCCTGCATTGTAAGGTGGATTCTTTACCACTGGACCACCAGGGAAGTCCCCATTTCAGAGAATGTTTTGCCTGTGTTCTCCTCCAGTAGTCTTATGATGTCATGTCTTATATTTAAGTCTTTAAGTCATTTTGAGTTTATTTTTGTGTATGGTGTGAGGGAGTGTTCTAACTTCAGTGATTTACATGCGGCTGTCCAGTTTTCCCAACACCACTTGTTGCAGAGGCTGTCTTTTCTCAGTTGCCTCCTTTGTCAAAGATTGACTGTAGGTGTGTAGGTTTATTTCTGGGCTCTTTATTCTGATCCATTGATCTATATGTCTGGTTTTGTGCCAATAGCATGCTGTTTTGATTATTGTAGCTTTGTAGTATTCTCTGAAGTCTGGGAGGGTTATGCCTTCAGCTTTGTTCTTTTTCCTCAGGATTGCTTTAGCAATTCTGAGTCTTTTATGGTTCCATCCATCCGTATGGTTTTTAACTCTTATGGGTTTTTTTTCTTTTTTTTTTCAATGGGAAACTAGCTAAATTAATTATATTGCATATACACAATAAAATACCAGCTACTCCAGCTTTCTTTTGATTTCCATTTGCATGGAATACCTTTTTCCATCCCCTCACTTTCAGTCTGTATGTGTCCCTAAGTCTGAAGTGGGTCTCTTGTAGACAGTATATATATGGGTCTTGTTTTTGTATCCATTCAGCAAGCCTGTGTCTTTTGGTTGGAGCATTTAATCCATTCATGTTTAAGGTAATTATCCATATGTATGTTCCTGTGACCATTTTCTTAATTGTTTTGGGTTTGCTTTTGTAGGTCCTTTTGTTCTCTTGTGTTTCCCACTTAGAGAAGTTCCTTTCTCATTTGTTGTAGAGCCTGTTTAGTGGTGCTGAATTCTCTTAGGTTTTGCTTGTCTGTAAAGCTTTTGATTTCTCCAACGAATCTGAATGAGACCCTTGCTGGGTAGAGTAATCTTGTTTGTAGTTTCTTCCCTTTCATCACTTTAAGTACATCATGCCACTCCCTTCTGGCTTGTAGAGTTTCTGCTGAGAAATCAGCTGTTAACCTTATGGGAGTTCCCTTGTATGTTATTTTTCGGTTTTCCCTTGCTGCTTTCAATAATTTTTCTTTGTATTTAATTTTTGCCAATTTGATTACTATGTGTCTCGGCGTGTTTCTCCTTGGTTTTATCCTGTACGGGACTCTCTGTGCTTCCTGGACTTGGGTGGCTATTTCCTTTCCCATGTTAGGGAAGTTTTCGACTATAATCTCTTCAAATATTTTCTCTGGTCCTTTCTCTCTCTCTTCTCTTTCTGGGATCCCTATAATGCGAATTTTGTTGCGTTTAATGTTGTCCCAGAGGTCTCTTAGGCTGTCTTCATTTCTTTTCATTCTTTTTTCTTTATTCTCTTCCGCAGCAGTGAATTCCATCATTCTGTCTTCCAGGTCACTTATCCGTTCTTCTGCCTCAGTTATTCTGCTCTTGATTCCTTCTAGTGTAGTTTTCATTTCAGTTATTGTATTGTTCATCTCTGTTTGTTCTTTAATTCTTCTAGGTCTTTGTTAAACATTTCTTGCATCTTCTTGATCTTTGCCTCCATTCTTTTTCTGAGGTCCTGGATCATCTTCACTATCATTATTCTGAATTCTTTTTCTGGAAGGTTGCCTATCTCCACTTCATTTAGTTGTTTTTCTGGGGTTTTATCTTGTTCCTTCATCTGGTATATAGCCCTCTGCCTTTTCATCTTGTCTATCTTTCTGTGAATGCGGTTTTCGTTCCACAGGCTGCAGGATTGTAGTTCTTCTTGCTTCTGCTGTCTGTCCTCTGTTGGATGAGGCTATCTAAGAGGCTTGATGGGAGGGACTGATGGTGGGTAGAGCTGACTGTTGCTCTGGTGGGCAGAGCTCAGTAAAACTTTAATCTACTTGACTGCTGATGGGTGGGGCTGGGTTCCCTCCCTGTTGGTTGTTTGGCCTGAGGCAACCCTACACTGGAGCCTACCTGGGCTCTCTGCTGGGGCCAATGGCAGACTCTGGGAGGGCTCACAGCAAGGAGTACTTCCCAGAACTTCTGCTGCCAGTGTCCTTGTCCCCACAGTGAGCCACAGACACCCCCCACCTCTGCAGGAGACCCTCCAACACTAGCAGGTAGGTCTGGTTCAGTCTCCCCTGGGGTCACTGCTCCTTCCCCTGGGTCCTGATGCACACAGTACTTTGTGTGTGCCCTCCAAGAGTGGAGACTCTGTTTCCCCAAGTCCTGTCAAAGTCCTGCAATCAATTCCCACTAGGCTTCAAAGTCTGATTCTCTAGGAATTCCTCCTCCCGTTGCTGGACCCCCATGTTGGGAAGCCTGACATGGGGCTCAGAACCTTCACTCCAGTGGGTGGACTTTTGTGGTCTAAGTATTCTGCAGTTTGTGAGTCACCCACCCCAGTTATGGGATTTGATTTTGCTGTGATTGCGCCCCTCCTACCATCTCTTTGTGGCTTCTCCTTTGTCTTTGGATGTGGGGTATCTTTTTTGGTGAGTTCCCGTTTCTTCCTGTCGATGCTTGTCCAGCAGCTAGTTGTGATTCTGGTGTTCTCGCAAGAGGGAGTGAGAGCACGTCCTTCTACTCCGCCATCTTGGTTCCTCTCCCCCAACTCTTATGTTTATTAATGGGTGGAACTGGGACCTTTTCCTTCTAGTAAAGATGACCAGGTTGGAATGGAAAACTTTGTTCACTCCAGATTTAGTAAATCTGGCAAAACATCTCTCTCATTCTCTAGATGTTACCTTAAAGGAATACAGTCAAAATTCTTAATCTCTAACTCCAGCAAATGAATGATCCTAAATATAATCAAAACCTGCCTAGTTTCTAGATTGTTACAAAATTAAGCACTTGTCTTCCAACATCCTCCCAATTCTCAGTGACAGGGCTCCAAGGAACTATAGGTGGTTTTCCCAACCCTCCTTCTTAACTGGCTTGAAGGAACATTTCTCCAGATTGAGGGAAAATCTCTTCTAGTCCTAACTGACAAGGGAGCTACACTCATTGCTCAATTCTGCTACTATAAAACAGCCCTGCCTCAAAGTACTAAAACAGTTCAAATAGTGCAGATCTTTAATGAGCCTCAAGAGGTTCTTGTCTCTGAACCTATTCCCTTTTGTTTAGGGCTTTTGAGAGATACTCACCCTTTTCTCCTTGGCTCCTCTGCCCCTATCCACTTATTAGGCTAAGACTTCTTAGAGAATTATCATGCCAGTATTCTTTCTCCCCGAAGGGGAAAATATAGAAATTGACAGTAGTCATCTAAGCAATCCACCAAGTGAATTAAATGACCCTTTGATATCTTTTATTCCATCTCTGACCGTACTAGAGCAGATTCTGGAAATGCTGATCATTTGTCCCTATTGAATCAGCTAACACTTTCCTTATGAGCAAAATCTCCAAATGATGTTGGCAAAATTCATAGCACATTTCCCATTAAAATTCAGAGAGACTCCTCAAAATCTCTTCCCAGAATTAATTGATACCCTAAGAGTAAGGAAGCCATTCAAGGTATAAAGCCTATAATAGAAGATTACAAGGCTCAAGGCCTCATTATCCCTTGTACTAGGCAGACACTCCCATTTTACCGGTGAGAAAACCTAAGGGCCAACGGTGGAGGTTTGTCCAGGACCTCCCAGCAGCAAACAACATTGTTATCTCTGTTGTTCCTAGCCCTCATAGTTATTAGGTAGTAAATTCTTTACTGTAACTGATTTATATAACGCAGTCTTTAGTATTTCAGTTGGTGAAGCTAGCCAATACCTTTTTGCCTTCACTTCGCAAGAAAGCCAATTCACCTGGACTGTAATGCCTCAGGGTTATACGGAGCCCCTATTTCTTGGGCAAATCCTGAAGGTTGATCCCTAGAGATACTGCTTTGTTGCAACAAGTGGATGATTCACTTCTTTGCTCTTGTTATCAAGCCTCCTTACAGGAAGACAGCATCCACTTGCTAAACTTTTAGCCTTAAAGGGACATAATATCACCAAAGAAAAATGGCAGTTTGCCCCAAACCAGGTTTGATATGTAGGGCGTCAGATATCAGAACAAGGGATACACTTAGATCCAGATAGACTTCATGGTGTCTTAGTTTCCCAAAACCCAAAACTAAGTGCCAACTGTGAGATTTTCTTGGTCTAGTTTGTAATTGCTGAAATTGTGACAGGTTTCCTTGGGCTAGACCTTAATGGCTAAAATTGGATTCCAATTTTTCCCTCTTATGGCCAAACTTCTGTAAGTTTTACTCAACAATAACAACACAACTTAATTTTATGGGAAGAATTGGATGACATAGCCTCAAGGTCTTAGAGAAGAGTTTGCTGAACCCACCCGCCCTTGATCTTCCCAATTATCAAATTCCATTTTTCCTTGTTGTATATGAAAAGGAAGGGAATGCCCTTGGGGTACTCACCCCAAAACATGGATTCACCATTGACCCATAGGGTATTATAGCCAACAGCTGGACCCTGTGGCATGAGGATAACCCCCTTGCCTTGCTGTGATCCTTCTAAACCTCACATCCACCCTTTTTGGAATTCATAAACTCTCATCCTTTGAGCTAGTCACAGTATACCCAATGAACCTGGCTCCTGCTTCTTTAACCTACAACTGATAAAAGGAGAGATACTCCAATATTGCAAAGGCCTAATTACTTCTATTAAAAATAACCATGTTTTGGTGGATCAGTCTTTTCACAGTGCACCCTTGGGGGACAAAGACCTTAAGCATCACAACTTGCAACCTGGAGATTTCATCTATCGGAAAAGATACATCCAGAAGAACTCTCTTCAACCTTGCTGGAAAGTACTCTATCAAGTACTCCAAACAACCCTTGTGCTTCCAGACTCCAAGGAATAGACTCTTGGATTCATGAGACACACCTAAAGAAAGCATCGAACCTTAACTGAAACTGCACATCATCTGGTGAGCTGAAAGTAAAGATTTTCCAGAATTGAAGCAGATGACATCTGATAAGACAGCTTTCCCAGGATATCTGGACCAGGTCTGTTGGAAGTTTGTCACCAAGCCTTTGATGATGGCATAATGCCTCAGGAGATCTCTGATGTCTATGATTTTGATAACAGGACTTTAGATAAAAAGTGCCTGAGAGTCCTCCTTCCTCCTCCTTGTTACTCAAATGTGACCTTAATAGGCTTCCAATCTGTGCACTTTCCCTCTGATGTGAGACACTATACCCAGGAATGGTCCTTCTTGACATTGAGGGACAAAAAGCCATTGAAACTAAAAACCCTGACTCTTGATAGCAGTGCTTTCAGAGAAAAATCCTGATCAAAAGGGGAAAATGTAAAAAATTAATAAACAGAAACCTCAATTAAATAGAGTTGGGAGACCAGAAGGGGGAGCTCTCACACCCTCTGGTGATAGAACCTAACAGGAAGAAGAAAGACTCCTTTCCTGGCAGGGACTCAGCCAATGAAAAGCCATGAGCTCTTTGTTTTATTTATGGTCTGTAGGTTTTCACACTGGACTGAAGCCTTTCCTTGAAGACAGATGGCCTCTTCTGTGGCTAAAGTCTCTTTAGAAAAGGTTATCCCTACCTGGGGAACTCCTCTAGAACTGTGAGGAACCCATCTTACTGGCCAGGTGCTTTGAAAAGTCCTTTTCCTCTCTATAAAAGTGTTCTCCTTCCTTTGCCATGCCGGGACTTGCATGTGGTTTGGCATGGTTGCAGACCCCAAATTGCAATTCTCTGCTAATCCTGAATAAACCCATCTTTGCTGGAGAAATATTTGGCAGTGTTTTTGTTTCAGGTCAACAGCAGTCTGTGTGCTAGCATGTGCACTGCTAATGGGTTTGTCATTGTTTCTATGCTTTTTCAGTGGGCAGAGTAAGGAAATCCTTTTTATTTTATGGAGATAATATATCATGAGTTCATAATGATATTTCCAATTCAAGTTTAAGAGTATAGGGCTATTTCTTAACCTCTGATTTCTATTTCAATCTCTTTTCTCTCACACTAAAAATCTTAATTCTTAAACAATATTAACTTAATTATGTACCAGTTTATTACCAACAATATGATTACAGAATTGGTTTATTTTTTGCAGTTCTTTTTGCCTTATGATATATCCCACTAGGGACATATGGTCAAATTACTGTATTTTAAATCACTTGAAATAACTCTTCTCTGTGTGGTTAAGCCACTAACTCTAAATACCCACTAAAAAGCCACTAAATAAATACACATTTATTTAAGTGTATTTGGTGTTTTGCTTTAAATTCTAAAATAGCTCTTTCAATTTAATTTAGTTTTATAGTTTTGCATAACAATCACATGGTTTCACAATCAAATCCACTCACTCAGAGACGTCTGGCACACATTCTTATCCTTTTCAACCTGTTCTGTCATCTCATAGGTAGTCTAATATTTGGCTTATCCTTCCATTTTTTAAAAATATAAACAGATACATCTCTTTATATATAAGCTAGCATACTTGACACCCTACTCTGTACCTGGCTTTTTTCCAATAATATATCCTAATGATCACTCCATAGCAATATACAGAGATAACCCTCTTTCCTTTGTACAGCTGCAGAATACTCTGAAGGGGAGCACCCCAAAATATGCCACTTTGGCATATTGATTGGTTTGAATTAAAGGTACTTGAGAAACAAGTACCTTTATTATATGGGATTTAGAGAATTTGGAGAAACTGTATATAAGCTTTCCAGGGAATTTTGAGACATGAATCTTAAGGTTTTAAGTTCCGTCAGCCATTGCCGTTCTTTTCACTAGAATGTCCCTTGATAGGTTAATTTTACCTATAGCATTTAGCATAGTACCTGGCATACAGTAGGTGCTTATTTAAAGCCTATTTAAGAGCTGAATGAATCCCTGCCTTTTCCCTATGTTGTGATTTAATACCATCACTAATTTAAGATCTGTTAGATGGAACCAGAAAATGGAATATACTGGCTTCACTTTCTTGGGACACACATTAAGGAGCACGTGTTTACTAAATTGTTTGTCCTTTTTCACTGTTTATGTTCAATTTTTGAATTTCATTATTTTCATCCATTGTTTATCCTTTCCTCAATATTGAACTTCAGTTCTCATCAGAATTCACTTTTTCTTAACCAGGGCTAGCTCTCAAAAATTATATACATTGAGTGTTTCATAAAGAACTATTTCATTGAAAGCAACAAAAATCTCTTCTCTCCAAGATTTAACAGCAGAGAATGTTTGCTAAATGTTTTTAAAAATATGCTCATTTTAGAAAATATCTCCAAACTTTCCATTCCTAAAATAAAAAATCTAGTTGGTTATCAATTTCATATTTTGCTCTTTTCACTTAATAAGTATTTTCCCGTGACATAAAAAATTTTGAAAGAATATTCTAAGTGAGTTAAAATACCTCAGAGGACCCTGTGTACAAATTCAGAGCACCAGAAAGAGTATTTGTGTCTCTCCCGCTTACGTATACAGTGATTGAAAGTGTCGGCTGCCCATACCTCAAGGGTATGATGTGAAAATTTTGTTTAAAACTAGAAATTGCAGGGGGTGTGGGTTCCATCCTTGGTCAGGGAGCTAAGATCCCACATGCCTCGTGGCTAAAAAACCAAAACATAAAACAGAAGCAATATTGTAATAAGTTCAATAAAGACTTTAAGAATGGTCCACATCAAAAAAAAGAAAAAAGATAATTCACCTTGAAAATAGTCTGACAAAGTTTGGTGCTAACTAAATAAATCCTGACATATTTTTTACGGAAGAGACAGACCAGTAATGGTGGTTCTAGAGCTGAAAAGTATGAAGCGTGCCCATAAGGTACCTCAACCTCTGTGCCTGAGTGTTGGACTGTGTTGGGACTTATATTTATGAAGTATTCGGGAATTTATTCAAAGATTCAGAGAACAGAAAGTGATGAAAATACAACCCAAAATGAAAATGACACTTTTCAAGTAGACCGTTGTTATGCCTTTTGGAGGGATGGGAAAATACGGAGGGATTTCCCTGACTTTTTGTGGGGCAGAACTAGAATATCTGATTGGTGAGAACATAAGTACCAAAATGACCTCGGTCACCCTTAAGTTTGGCCAGTAACTCTAGGGATATAAACAGGCCACAAATCCAAGCGCTGATGAACGACCTACACCAGCAGAGAATTTCCTTCTTCCTTCTGGATCAGAAAGCGTCTCCTTCCCAAAGAGTTGGACCCCCAACTCTGTAAGACAAGCTACTTTTTTTACAGTTTTCTGGGTATCAGCGTGACAGTCTCATCCCTGCCTTCACTGGGAGGAAAAGGAATGCAACCTCCACCGGCCTCAGCCGTACGTTGAAGCACTCGGGAATCCCCCGGATGTGAAGCAAGCGCCTCAGAAATAGGCCAACTGCCAGGGACTGCAATAGGCAAAAGGGGAGAGGACGCTTAAAGAAGTAGGTGAGAAGGCATTTTATTCCTCTAATTTTTTTTTTTTTTGCGGTAGGCGGGCCTCTCACTGTTCTGGCCTTCTCCCGTTGCAGAGCACAGGCTCTAGACGCGCAGGCTCAGCGGCCATGGCTCACGCGCCCAGCTGCTTCGCGGCACGTGGGATCTTCGCGGACCGGGGCACGAACCTGTGTCCCCTAGCATTGGCCGACGGACTCTCAACCACTGCGCCACCAAGGAAACCCTGTTTTCAACTTTGACTTGCAGCTCTCGCATACGGAAATTCTATAGCCACTCCAGTTTGAGGACCCCCCCCCAAGAATCTAGAGACAAGAGGCGCACGGCCAGCTCTCTACCCCAGGCCTAACGGACCACTCTGGGAGGAGTCTAATGGGTCCAGCCACTGCGGCCTAGAATGCCAACAAGTAGGGTAGGAGAGGCTGGAGATGGGGGCGGGACGGCGCGTCTGCCTGACCGCTGATTGGCTGAGGGCACTCGTTGCCTGGCGCCATTTGTTGTCGGAGGGGCGCATCTGACGCAGCCTGCGTCCTGCACGTGCAGCCGTTTAAGCGGCGTCAGCGCCTGCGAGAACTCTGGGAGAGCAAGCAGCGGAGAGGTGAGTGGGCCAGCGGCTTTTTTCCCCCTGTACGCGCCTCGTCCCGACCCTCTGGGCTTCCCAGTAGCTGGACTTTGGGCCGACTGAAGGACGGATGCGGTGGGCGGGGGTTTGAAGCCGTCCTTTGGCGTCATTCTGCTTTCTGCCGGAGGGTCCAAAAGCACCGTGAGTGCCCGAAGTCTGAGGTTGAGGCCTGCAGAGGAGGTGAAGGAGCCTTTTTGACCAGTCCCTGCTCGTCTTTTTCTCTCAATAGGGATGGTTGTAGTAACACTGTGTATAAGTCCTCCTTGGCGAAGCCAGTCCTTTGTTGGAGGTATTCGAGCCACCTAACCACTGCTTCCTTCCCTGCCAAACTTCGAGGCCTTGATCCCCGCCCCGCCCCCCCCCCCCCAAGAAACTAAGTCAAAAACCTCAAGCTAAACGGCTTACCTAGTTTTGAAGGGAGGCATGTGAAGGGAGAAACCTTGAGTAGTATCTGAAAAATGTCCCCTCCCTTTAATATACAATAAGATGTTTGAGGACCCTTCGATGGAGAAGATAAATTCTAACAACAGATTTTGGGAGAAAGCCTAAACATCAGTGGGGACATGGTGATTGCTAGAGTGATTAGGTAAGTGGTTCAACTGATTTTTAAAGAGAAAAAGGATGGACATAAATGCTGTCTCTAGGGAAGAAACAAAACTTAATTCCTTTTTTTGCAAAAACTTTTTGGGAGGATCAACACTTAGTTGAGTAGTTTGGAGGGGTATATGTGAAATGATGCGGGTTTATGCTTTTAAAGATACGATTCTGATCTCTCTGATTCTAATTGAGGCTAAATGTGCATGTTTGTATTTTTATGAAAATAGAACTGGAAGCCACCATGGGAGATGAAGATTGGGAAGCAGAAATAATCAAACCTCGTATGTCTTCCTATGTTCCTGTATTTGAGAAGGTAATAAAATTCAAAGTTTGCAGTTATTAAATGCTGCAGATTTTATCGAAGTTGAAAATCACTGTGGTGAGAAAGTTCTAAATTACAGTTTGTTGTGCTTATCTCGGTGTGATTGTTATTAACTATCTCATGGCGAATGATGAAGAGGCGCGCTAAGCCTCAAATAGAATAAAATAGTCTGAGGTAATTTGATAATTAAAAACTAAAATGTATATAATAATATTAACAATTTAATTTAAATCTCGATGATTTAGGACTTGTGGGTGAAAGCAAGCTTATGCTAATGTGGTTGAATGTCTCTGAGATACAGTCATATAGAAAACTGAAAAACTTTAATTTGATTTTGGTTGATGTTTTGAATTCTGAAAATTGGTTTCCTACAAGCAGGGCTCTCAAGATAAAAACATTAGGCTGATTCAGATGG